AGCAGGACAGACTTTTTGCTGGAAACATGTTGGTGGTTGTGACCAGAACAGTAATGGTCAAAATCTATCAACACCTATACATTTATAGAAAGTATTTACCCTGAAATTCTCGAAAAACATTGTTTTATGCAGACTGTGTTTGTTTTATTGTCACGTGACTATAAAGCTATACAGACACGTCTAGTGTTATTCTTGCTGTCAAACGAATATGTTATGAAGTATAAATGAGTAGTTTTTATAACTATTGGTTCCATCATTTCTAAAATGATAACTGTTTCTTTACAGTTTTTAGTGTCACTGCAAGGTCACGTCTGATTTTCGGACGCCGTTTTATAAAATACATGGCAGATTCTTACAAAAATAAAATACGACTTGAAAGCTTATGTTCTCCCAACCTGAAAAAATAAAACGGTTACATTGTAGTGCTATTTACTAAGCTATTTGGATTTCAGCAAACTGAAGTTGTCCAGAATCGAAAATGGCGAAATCTGTGTATTTTAGGCAGGGTTATCTCTTGTTTTAAAACTCGCAGTCAGTTGAATTAACGATAAATAAATAATAATTTGATGCGTTACAATGAAAATATCCGCTCATATTATGATGCACAGTCTTCACGATCCGTATCATAAATCTAAAGCCCCTGCTTATGGTGCGTACACGACGTTTTATATTTACTAAAAAAATATTACCAGATACTGTAAAACCAATTATTTTCTCCGGCATTTAAACTATTTTGATGTTTCGGGCAATTTGTTGATGTTCATGTAGGTCTGCATTTTACTGCGAGCAAGCAGTCATTATTTCGATTTCAGACCCTGACATAAAACCGTTCTCTGTATGGCCTGATTGGGCAGCCCACCCCAATCTCGGTGGTAGACACACACAGATACTGGCATTGTACCAATAAAGTGCATTGTACCAGATATGTTTGATGACCATATTTTCTTCAGTTTATTCAGTGCAATCCATGATTTGGCTTTTCTTGCGTTTGTGTCTTTTTCAGTACTGAAATCAGGTTGGAGTCCCGATACACA